ATAAAACAAAAAGAGTCTTTATGTTTGCACTCATTTTAGTACATCACATATTTAAGTACACCTGCAAAGTTCTAAGTTATTTGAAACATATTGCAGTTCATGTCTTTGGAAACCTTACTCAAAAGTCCAATATTTTAAATTATACTAAGAAGCACTGTTTCTTAATTTAATTTCTATTTAAATAATAATTTGGTTGTATAGGAGATATAAGTTATAGTGGTCCGATCTGGATTACTCTGACAAATAATTAGCACAAGTATTGACGAACAAATTTTTATAATTCCTAAAAGCTAAACTTTGCTTTGAAAATCGCTGTCTCGAAACCGGTTTTAGACCCATAGTTTCTTAGGCAACATTGTTTAGAGTAATCCGTAGAACATTTTCCACTTATGCGAATTTTCCGTTTTTTCGGCCGCCTACAATTCGACCCTCTCTACCCCATACATATATAGGTAAAGACTTGTATACTTGTATTTCCAGTGGTGTTTTCATTCATTAATTTTTTGTACTTTTGTGAGTACTATGTGTGTTTTTAGCTGAGTGCGTAATCGGGATATCCATTTAGCCTTTGAGTTGTAAATCTGTCGTTCTTACTGGCTTGAACGTTCACGTCCATTAAGAGTCACATGAATGATTTGCATGTGTGTTTGTGTATGAGCACACACTGTGTGTGTGTATGTATTTAATTGAGACTTGCAAATGATTTGTTTACATTTTTAGCTTATGTTAAAATTTCGCCTTCAGCGATTTTTCTCACAGGACATATGTACAAAAGGCGCCTGCGCTCTATCTACCTACACGCATCCAGTTGTAGTGCGCCTGTAAGCATACTATACCTGACTCAGCTGTTTATTTGCGTCCATTTTAATGAGGCCGTATTTTTCTAACAATCGTTAGTGTTACTGGTGCTAAAAATACATATACAAATTGCTATTGTTTTCGTTGTTCATATTGCTCTTGCCCCTCTTCCGAATGTTTTGTCCATCGTCAATTGATGCTGAACTCTTTTCGATTGTATGTGTACCATATATGCACAACATGTGTGGCGCGCTTATCAGCTCTTTGTGTGGCTACGCTCGGTATACTTCTGCTGTGTGTTAGTGAGAGTTGCTGTACCTTCGCGCTTTGTTTTCCTTAAATTGTCTGTCAACAAATTTGACATTTGATGTGCGTTACCGATGATTTTTAGCCATTTAAACATTACGTACATTATTACTCGTGTTATTACTTTTTCCACTTTGTACGGCTTTTGTTGACAGCTTTCTTCGTTGAGGAAGTTAAAGTTGTTATTTTGAATGCGTGTTATTAAGAGATTATGTGAGGATTAATATAAGTAACTATCTAATCGAAAATGTATTGTTAATGTGTTTATTTGTTCCTAAGACATGCCGAAAATACTCTTAGAAAATAATAATAGTAGTAAACTACATACGTTTAAAACTCATCGAAGAAAAAATATAACAGTTTTTTGTAAAGAATGTTAAGGTCAAGTTTTTTCCTTTTTTCATTCTACGCCATAAATATGATTAAGATATCTTCCAAACAATAGTTTTTACTAAAGAATAATTTAAACAATCTATATGCGGTACTAAAGTTAAAACTATGTTTTCAGTGAAATCGACTGTATTTAAATAAATATAGGGTTTGAACATTAATTTTAAAAATCGGTGAAATTGCTGTACACGAGTAGCCCCTTATAATAAAGTGTTTTTTTGGACGTGTGGTTTTCAATGAGGCAATACTTGTTTCGGGGTTGGTCTTTTTGACAGTTGTTACTTGATTTATACCCAATGGGGTTTCCATTTCTTAATGAACAGACTTATTTTGGAACAGCGTTTGTAAATCGTGCAAATTTATTACCAAAATAATGGTTCGGTTCGCGTAACGCATTGCGCGCTGCGTAACATACAATATTCGGTTGATTTTATCGCCCAACAAAGTCGCTGATTCGAGCCACCATGGAGCAGTTTCGCACCACGGTTACTCTAGTGGATAATGCGCATCCTCAGAGACGTTGAAGTGCTAATCTAATGAGCTATTGCTGCTGTGAAGCAGAGTATCGAAGAAGACCCGAATGAGTCCATCCGCCATCGTGCGAAACTATTGGAGCTGTGCCCATCTACTTTATGGAAGATTTCGCGGAAGGACCTTGAGTCACGAGCTAACAAAGTCTAAGTCGTGCAAGAATTGAAGATAAATGACCATCAAGCGTGTCGCAGTGATGGGCCCCCAAACGAGATAGTCGCCGATCCCGATTTTCGCTAGAAAATTTTATTCAGCAATGAAGCTCACTTTTGGTTGAAAGGGGACAATAAACAAAATTGTCGCAAAACATTGTTGAGAAGTCGTTACATCATCAGAAAGTAACTGTTTGGTGTACTCTATGGGCAGAGGGAATCGTTGGTTCATATTTCTTCAAAAATGAAGCCGGCCATAATGTTACAGTCCATGAGGATCGCTACAGTGCTAATATTAATGATTTTTTCGTGACCGAATTGGAGAATGTTGATGTGAACGATCTTTGGTTTTAACAACATTGCACAACATGCCTTACAGCAAATGCAAGAATCAATTGATTGAAATAAAAGGTGCGTTCGAGATGGCAATCATGACAGCAGTGTTGAAAATTTGTCAAAGTGTCACGTTTTGCGTGAATTTTTGGCAACACTTATAACAGCATGTCGTTCTACTGTTACTTTTTGCGCGCAATTTATGCAAATAATCGGCAACACTCAATTTTTGTCTGCACATCAGCAGAGTATCAGCAAATATCGAACATAGCTTCTGTACAAGGTGCGTAAAATGGTAACAAAGTAAAGTCTAGTGGCGCTGTCTATATGTCGACCAGTGCGTTAGAATCTGCTATCCTTCCAGTAAAAATTTCATAACATTTCATTTATTGGAAGTGAAGTTATTGCGTTTTAAGTGTCAGTATGTTTTTGTCATCGGTGCGAAAATGAACATTAAATTTTGTTTTAAAATTGGTAAAACTTTTACCGAAACGTTTCAATTGATGAAACAAGTTTATGGCGATGATTGCCTATCCCGTAGCAGAGTGCATGAGTGGTTTCAACGTTTTCAAAGTGGTCGTAAGGACATTAATGAGAAATGAGCCGAAACCCAAAAAAATCGCGCCTGGAGAAGTCAAAAGTGAAGACATTGCTGATTTGTTTTTATGATTCCAAGGGTATTGTCCACAAAGAATTTGTTCCACCCGGCCAAAACGTTAATGCGGTATTCTATCTTGAAGTTTTGAAGCGTTTGGTGCGCCGTATTCGGAGAGGAAGTTGGCGTTTGTTGCACGATAATGCGCCGTCTCATCGATCGACGCTTGTGGCCGATTATTTGACCTAAAATCACATTTTAACAATCAACCACTCCCCGTATTCACCTGATATGGTACCGTGCGACTTCTACCTTTTCGGAAAAATGCATTTGCCGATGAAAGGAGAGCGTTATGCAGACGTGGAGGCCATTCAAAAGGCTTGCACCGGCATACTGGCGGCCATACCGGCCAACGAGCTAAAACACTCGTTCGACATGCTTTTGGACCGTGCAAAAAGCTGTATTAAAGCAGAAGGAGACTATTTTGAATAAAATGAATTGATTTTACCAATAAAACCATTTTTTATGACTTTTTGTTAAAAGTTCTGTTTACTTTGGAACGCACCTTGTTCTGCTGCAATTATTACGTAGCTCGAACGCACCCAAGCTTTCGGTGTGCGCGTTATCTCGCGTCGCGAGTATATAGCGTGGTCTTCAAGATCGTACGACCTAATCTGAATTATTTTTTCTAAAGTTAGGTGAAGTTGATAGTCTACGCAGATAAGCCCGAGACGACTGATGCCTTGAAGGAGAATAGTCGGCAGGTTATTGCTGACATGTCTTGACCGAAATTATTTTAAAAATATAATATCAAACCCATTTCTTTATAAAAAAAGCTAAATGCTTGACCACAATATTAAATTATATGCTTTTTATTTCTTCTTGACCATTTAAAATAGAATTTCATAAACATTTTTTCCATAATAGCAAAATTATGAAGGATTGTGCTTCTTAAGTTCCTCTTAGCAATTCTGCAATAAAAATCAATTAGCTATGGAATTCATTTTAATGTATACAAATTTACAAGTTAAAGTTTGTAAACAAAATTCGGGGTTGCTATTTTAATTCCATCAGCGTTTTTGAAGTTACCTCAGTTTGTTAATTTACTTAAACTATGACAAAATACAACAGCTTTACAAAAAAAATTTCTTTCTTGTCTTGGATTTGTTGGCAAATTTGGGGCCCTAGGAGCAAATATGAATCTCAAGTTAGACTATCTCCGCAATAGTCTGAAGAAATTTTCGGATAATATAGGAAATTATAGTTAGGAAAAAGAAGAGCAGTTCCAACAGAATCTGAAAGTGAGGGTAAGAAAAGTATCAAGGATGATGCCAGATTACTGCTGGTCCTTAAAGATTATCAACTGGAAAATTATAAAAGAAATGTTCATAGAAGGCGTTTTATTGAAGTATAACATATGTTTTCCATTTGTCTATCTGTTCCTTCGATGTATTCTTAAACTAAACTGAAATTATAAATATGTTAATCTGTTGTTTCGTTAATGATTTCTGTTTTGTATAATATTGGAAATAAATATTTAAAAATTAACGGGAGCCAATCGTACAAAATCATTGATAGTTTCATGAATTGTGGACACAAATATATCCGAAATCGATCTTATATCTAGGGCAACAAAACCACTGTAGACCAGTGTAAGTACATGCAAGCGTGAAATCCTGTCATATCTTTGAGCACTGAATGAAATTACTTAAGACAATAAACATTACAAAAAGTCCTAACTTCGCAATTATAATTTTGGAAATACCAGTCATTTTTAAAAACAAATGTTCCTACCATGTATGTACATAGGTATGCACTTATGTATATTCAGATATAACAATAAATTCTTTATGAAAAAACAAATGACAACCAAATACATATTTGTATTTTTTCAGCACTCTACGTAATTACAAAAAATGCCAAATAATTGAAAGCAAAACTGCAATAAAGGGAAATAGTTAACCAAAAAACTGTCTGAGTTCTAACCGCTGTAAACAAACAGTAAATTAAAGAGAGGGACACATATTCATATGAACAAGGATGTGCGTGCTGCTGTTAACATTACTCAAGGCAAAAAGTAAGTTAGATGTCAAGAAAACATATAATATGCTATAATATACATAATATGTAAGTGTGTATATGTAAACACTCTTGTTTGTTATTATACATATGTATATACTCCTCAGTGAAATGAGCTGATTTAAGCCACTTTATAAATAGTATGAAGTGCATGTCAAACTAGTCTTCTCTGTGAATTGACACTTTTCGGTCATAAAAAACTACTTTCACACTAGTATCATGTTAGTTTTAGAAGAAATCACATTTTTTTATAAAATATATAGTAAAACAAGTAAGGAAGGGCTAAGTTCGGATGTAACCGAACATTTTATACTCTCGCAAAGTCAAATGGTATACTCGTTTGAGATTTCTTTGTGGATTGACTGATATTTTTGGTAGAAGGTCAACTATAGGCACTGGGGTCAACATATTTCGTAGCTAGGGGCTTGAACAGTTTTGGTTTGATTTAGACAATTTTTGGTCACATGGTGGCATACTTTAAACGTATTATTCACGCAAAGTTTTACCCGGATATAATCATTGTTGCTTGATATGCATAGTGGAAAGTGAAAGAATCAGATGGAATTGAAAATGGTGTTATATGGGAAATAGGCGTGGTTGTAGTCCGATTTCGCCCATTTTCGCACTATAACATAGAAATATGAAAATAACGTTATGCACCGCAACTGCAATTTGGTTGAAATCGGTTAAGCAGATCCCAATATATTGGTTTTCACCGGTGCCACGCCCACTGTCTAATTTTGAACGCGGTTTCTATAAAATCATCTCATAGATAAAATTTAATGTCTCTGGCGTGTTTAGTGCTTGATTTATCGCGCTTTTAGTAGTTTTTAACAGTACCGTTATATGGGGAGTGGGCGGAGTTGCCACCCGATTTCAACTATTTTCACACTGTAGGTAGAAGTACTAAACACATTTGCTTCCAGTGAATTTTGTTATTATAGCGTTAGCGGTTTAGGAGATATGCACATTAAACCTATTAGGGGCGGGACCCCGCCCACTTAAAAAAAATGTTAACTGCAGATGCCCCTCCCTAATGTGATCCTGAATACCAAATAAGAGTCTTGTATCTTGTTGTGTAGCTTAGTTATGGAAATTTATTTGTTTTTGAATAATGGGGTTTTGTGGGCGTGGCAGTGGTCCGATTACGCCCATCTGCAATACCAACCGTCTCACGGTATCAAGAAACATGTCTACCAAGTTTCATACAGATATCTCAATTTTTACTTAAGTTAGAGCTTGCACGGACGGACGGACAGACGGACAGACGGACGGACATACAGACAGTCACCCGGATTTCAACTCGTCTCTTCATCCTGATCATTTATATATACATAACCCTATATCTAACTCGATTAGTTTTAGGTGATACAAACAACCGTTAGGTGAACAAAACTATTATACTCTGTAGCAACAGGTTGCGAAAGTATAATAAATACAGAAATGAAGTAAAACAAAAAAAAAAAACAAATACAAAAGATTCCGTACAAGAACTTCCTTCCGATCGTTCAGTTTATATGGCAGCTGTATAGTTTAGTTATTCGATCAGAATAATTTCTCTGGAGATTACATTACTGCTTTAGGTAATAATCCATGCCAAATTTTGAGACGATATCTCGTCAAATAAAAAAGTTTTCTATATAAGCACTTGATTCCAATCGGTTAGTTTGTATGGCAGCTATATGCCATAGTGTCCGATATGATTAGTTCCTTTCGGGCGAAAAGAATGTGTGCACAACTTCAGATCGACATCTCAAAAACTGAAGGACTAGTTCGTGTATATACAGACAGGCTGACAAGGCTAAATAGACTCGGCTCGTCACGCTCATCATTTAGATACATATATATTTTATAAGGTCTCCGAAATTACAAACATCGTGGCAAACTTAATATACACTGTCCGAAGTATAAAAAGTAGTCAAATGTTTTGGAAATTGTATAAGTCTGATAATTTTTGGACTAGTTGGATTTTCTTCAAGCAATTCTAGATTTAAAGCTAGTACATTTAAACAGAAATACATATGTGCATATATAAGTGCTTATTTATGCATGTAAGACCGTTTGAATATACTCCAAATATATTTCTCCATGTCAGACATCGTGCCTCTGCCTGTCAAGCCTGTTGTTGCAACGGCGGTTTCACAACGCACTTGTTGACGTTAAAACAACTTGAGTTCAATTTCATATTATGGAGACCACACATACTCGTACACATCCGGCCATATGCATACATATATGGTATATAAGCAACAAAAGCAAGGAATGCGAAATTTTTGTGGCTGCCATATGCATTATCTGCTGAATGCTGCATGAGGTTGTGCATGTGGCAAATACAAGCTCATATCGTCTGTCTGTGGGGCTGCATATGTTGCAGTCATGCGTTTGCCTACCAGTACACAGGGCTCTTGAGTTAAACTTGAAGTGGCACTAATTTTTGTGTTAACTTGTACTTGAGTAGTGGCTTGATGTGGAATGGAGTGTTTGTCTGCGGCACAATGCAAGCATAGGTATTACCGAAAATGTAACAACGGGAGCTTACAAATACAACAAATTATAAATACGGTTCCTAAAATAAAATAGAAAATAATTGCTTAAATTTACCAAAAACGTAACAGGTCATGCATATGTTGCAATATACATATAGTGACAACAACTATTTGCCAACTACCAATTCTTCAACAATTTTACTGTGAACGCTTCATTATACTATTTACGAAAATATGAGGGACGCTGCTTTAGCATATGTTATTCTCGAGCGAGTGAGGCGTCTCATTGATACTTAGTGAAATAAAGGGTGTTTTTTAAGACATGTGGTTTTCAAGAGGAAATAAAACGCATAAATTTAATGTTATGGCCAAGAATTTAGCTTTATTATAAAGATAAGGTGTTGTCTTTATGATTTCGGACAAGTGAGCGCTGCGGCTGGCTATAATAAATTCCACCGATTTTTGACCACTTTTCGCAGCAATTAGGGCCGTATGTCAACAGTAACCCGTTGAATATTGCCTTCTTAAGCGTCAATTGTCTTGGGCTTATCTTCATAGACAAGCGACTGCATGTAACCCCACAAAAAAATTGTCCAGCGGTGTTAAATCGCACGATCTTGGAGGCCACGCCACAGACCCATGAAGCGAGATAATGCGCTTACCGAAAATTTCCTTTAAAAAATTGATTGTTTCGTGGACTTTATGGCATGTAGCGCCGTCTTGTTGGAACCAAGGGTTGTCCATATCAACATTCTCCAAATCAGGCAGGAAAAAGCTAATAATATAGTTCTAAAGCGTTCTCCATGGAGTGTAATATTATGGCCTAATTCATTTTCGAAGAAATATGGACCAACGATTCCCTCTGCTTATAGAGCACATCAAACAGTTACATTTTGAGGATGTAGCGGCGTCTCAACAATATTTTGTGAATTATTATCACTCCAAATGCGACAATTTTGTTTTTTGATCCCTTTAAATCTAAAGTGAGCTTTATTATTGAACAAAATTGTTTTGTGAAAATCGGGATCGGTGGCCATCTCGTTTAAGGCTCATAAAGCGAACGTGCGACGCGATTGATAGTCGTTTGGCTACAATTCTTTGATTTTGTAAATCAAGTAAAAGCTGTTAAAAAAACAACTACGAAAATGTATTGTCTCATTGAAAACCATACGTCCAAAACAACACCCGTTACATAACTTAGGACCGAAAATATAGCAATTAAGTAATTGGTTTTTGAAATACTAAGTTTTGTTGAAAGTCTTATAAGTAGATATTACTCCGTCTATTGCCATTTTGATACTCTTGCAACATGTTGCGTCATACCGATATTTAAAAATAATAATTGTATATATTTACGATAATAAGTACTTATATACAATACATATATGTATTTATAATTATGGGTAACTTATTCACATTATATACATGCTAATCCAACATATTGCAGTTGTTGTAATAATTTTGTTTTATTCCAGGTACCATGCCCAAGTCCTCGCTGTTGCTACCATTGTTAGCAGTGCTGATGGTCATGCTGCCGACGCCGCCAGTTGCCAAAGCCACAAGCGGCTTACGCGTGCCCACTTTCATGCAAGAACCGCCGGCGCGTCTGCTCTTCAGCAATGACACCGGCACTCAGATCAGCTGCACGTCGCATGGTAATCCGCCACCGGTGGTATCGTGGGTGCTCAAGGATGGCACGATGGCGACGCAGGTGCCGGGACTCAGGTGAGTTAGAAAACGAAGATTGCTATGGTTCGAGTATACTGAGAGCGGATTAAGTCGATTAAGGGTCACATTGTTGCGGCTTCCACAAAATTAAATTAGAGAGGTGGTGAGAGAGTAAAGCAATTGAGAGTCAAGGAACAGTAAGGGACAATATATTTTTTCGGTGCGTTATAATACAGGAAAAAGAGTCCCTGTCTATCAAAATGTGTTTAGAAGTGTTAGCGGGTTTTTGTTTTTTTTCTTCTTCTGTGGGTTACTGCAAAGTTGTGGGAAGTGCTGTTCTCAAAATGGTTGAAGCAAATGTTGTAAACTTCAATGCTTCAACTTTATTCGAGTATTAGCCTGCTTGCTTGTTGTTGTTTTACGAGTATATATTGTTTTGTTTGTTTTTTGTTGTCGTCACATGGATTTTGTGCATTTGTTTTCATACTTAAGGTATAATAAATGACATCGTTGCTGTTGTTGGTGGCGTTACAGATGGTATTCTGGTTACTGCGTTTTTGTGTTGTTGGTATTTATTTTATTTGTTAGCGGAGCTTGTGTATGGTTTTTAATTAGCCTTGGAAAACTTTGCTCCCACTTTGGCTAAATGCATAACAACACGCAAACATGGGTACAACGGTGCCGGCAGATGTAAATACTAGTAATAACTTACATTCACCCTTTGTAGGTTGGTACGTTCATACCTTTAAAGGGTCTATCCTTAGGATATGTAGATTTATCCTAACGGTAAATATATATGTATGTGCACAAATTCGAGTTGGTCTTTCCTTTCACCCAAAAGTATTTTTATTCTCCTTGTTGCTTTCAAGCCTTTTTATGCCTGAATCTAATTGTATGAATGTATAATATATTGTTAGACTTCCTCGTAGCTGTGAGATTTGACCAATTTTTGATGAAACTGGTATGGATTCTTTCTCTGGCTGGATTAGGTTTAGTTTTCCATGATTATTTTGATGAAAGTATTGTATTCAGGAGTGAGAAATTAGGTTAAATTAGTAATCCCACCCAATTATGGCGGATCTTAATATGGACCCGCAAATTGAAACAGAATTTACAACTAAAACCCCGACCACTTTCAATTCAACTCTAAACATTTGATAAAGCTTTTAAAGAATATAATCCAATAGAAAAAAGCCAGTCTGAAATATTTATTTTTTGATCTTTATGACTACTTAATTCCTACCTAAATTTCTAAATAAATAAATCTCTAAAATCTTTAACCTCTTTATAATCGCAATTGAAAAACTCCTCCTAAAAGACCCTGTTTCCATACACACAATCCTTAATATATAAATATACACTTTTACACTTGTGAGGTGTTGCAAGTTGTTGCTGTTGATCCAGTTGTTGCAACAATGCAGTAATAGTCATAGTTATATTTAGAATTATTGTTGTTATTATTTTTTGTGGTGCGACTGCGACACTTCAACAGTATAGTTGTTAGTTAGTGCAGCGGTGTATGTGAATAGTGTTTTGCGGTTGTTCCCATCGCATTTCACCACATGCCGTCTGGTTGATACAACTACTACTGCTGCGGGCGGACAACAAGTTGCAACAACTGCCGGTAGCCACACTTCCACATTGCCGTCCAGTTGCTTTATCGCCTTTGCTGTTGTATCAAACTTTTTGCTTTCACCACTGTAGCATTATTATACTCTCACAACATATTGCTACAGAGTAGAATAGTTTTGTTCACCTAACGGTTTTTTTTTTCTTTGCTTCTCGGGTGAGGGGGTAGAAAATGCCTTCCGCTGTCGTCGCAGCAGTGGTATGTGCCGCTTGCAGGTCACTAAAAACCCCCCTTCTAGGGAACCGTCGCCCACCCTGAAACACGTTTGCATTACTTCAGGGTGGCGTTCCATTTTATTCATAACTTTCAACATATAAGGTAACCAACAGAACTATTATTTTGTACTTATGACATCTGCGTTGTGCGGCTTCTACACTTTCAATGACGCATCTGATAGCTCCTAAGGTTGACCTGCCGGGTCTAAATCCATGTTGTCTAGGGGAGAGTCCTCCAGCTTCGTTGATGGGCGCTTCGAGTCTGGGTTTAAGTAGCCTTTCATAAAGCTTTCCCGCTGTGTCGAGCATGCATAGTGGACGGTATGCTGATGGCAAGTTGGGATCTCCTTTTCCCTTACTGATTAGGACCAGCCGTTGTGTTTTCCAGAGTTCAGGGAATATTCCGGCTTCGAGGCAGGCGTTGTACATGTTCAGAAGTATTGCCGACCGCTCTGCAGCGATTATTTTAAGGATTTCTGCTGGGATCCCATCCGGGCCGGGTGATTTGTTTGTCTTGAGCTTGTCTGCGGCCAGTTGCAGCTCTTCCAGTGGAAGCTGTGGGATTTAGGAAAGTTGGGATTTGGGAAAGAGTCTGTGCAAGCTGTAAGTGAGTGTGTGAGTAAAAATTGAGGTATCTTTAAGAAACATGTTACACATGATCCTTTTACTTTCCACTATGCAAATCAAGCAACAATGATTCGGTCAATGTGTAAGATATATAATTGAAATTCATATAATAAAATAAATAAATGAAACTCTCGATAATAGTATGTTTTTGTGTAAAAAATTGGTTGAATGGGGTCCAAATTTCCTTTAATATAAAATTTGGCAACACCTGAAGTAATTTCCTGGGCTTTGATCCTTGCAAGTTGCGAGAGTATAAAATAATCGGTTACACCCGAACTTAGAACTTCCTTACTTGTTAAATATATTTATGTATGCGAGTGGACACCCCTTTACTTTGGCTACTGCGAGTAGCACGCAACAAGTTTTATGCTTAACATGCCACAAGTGCGCTTTACATAATTTTTATTATGTGAACACGATTTTGTTGTCATTTGTTTGTTACAGTACCATTTAAAACTTTCTATGACTCCCTCTTTCTATCTAGCTTTTCCACTTTTGTTGCTACCAGTTGAAAGACAGTGTCTCTTTCTCGTCGAATATAGCATATGTACTTGTACATATGTTGGGCGTATAAATACATATGCTTATACATATATTTGTATTATCTGTTTACATTGTGGGTGTGTTTGTTGCCATGAACGTGCTAGTGGTCAGACCACTGCCTCAATAATAATGTGGTTTCTTTGCTTTGCCGCTTTAAATATGTTTTCACATCAGCGTCTACACACTCTTTGCTTCCATACATTTAGTTTTTATACCCTTGCAACATGTTGCTAAAGGGTATAATAGTTTTCACCAAACGGTTGTTTATTTCACCTTAAACTAATCGAGATAGATATAGTTACATATATATGAGTGATCAGGATGACACGACGGGTAGAAATTCGGATGTCTGTCTCTGCAAACTGTAACTTGAGTACAAATTGAGATATCGTAAAGAACGTACACTGTTCCTTGGCAAAAAAGTAATGACGAATCCGTAGATGGGCGTGATCTAATTGTTGCCTCGCCTACAAAACGGCATTAAAAGAAAACCTATAAAGTGCCATAACTAAGCATTAATTAAAGGTAAGGGGCACCTGTGGGCTAAAAATTTTGAAAACTGGGCACAGCCCCGCTCTCTAAAAGGTTAAATGTACATATCTTCCAACCCATTGAAGCTAAAATAAACAAACTCGCTTAGAATGAATCCCTTAAGCACCCCTACACTGTAAAAATGGATGAAATACTGTTAAAAACTACTTAAAGCACGTTAAATTAATAAATAAATACGTCAGAGACATTAAATTATAATCCCTGTTTGGATGAGATAAGCCTTCCCTACACATACACACCACTCTAATGAAACACACCACACCTTAGAACACTCAAGGAATTTCACCCCTAACGTCGACATCACCACACTCCTCTGAGAACAAGATGCACGAAAAACCCTAGCAAAAAGGACCGCAGCATTGCTTATTGAACAGCTGCTACAGTATCGTACACATTCGCCGTACCAGCCTGAGCGCCATATCAACAGTAGACATTCCCTTATATTTTTGATTACGGCAATGAACCTGCGCACTACCTTTTTCGACGTATTCAATTCGTTATATCAACTTTTCGATTACGACGGCGATCCGGCACGTCACATCGTTTCATCCGGATACTGATTCGTCCCGTTGACTTTTCCATACATTTTTACTTCCAAATTTCATTGTAAAATGTAAAGTAACAATAATTAGATTTCTCATGTGACATCATTTTAAATTGCATCTGCTTCTTTCACATTCCAGTATAAAAATAAGACACGAATTAATACAACGGGATAAAACTTTGCACGAATAGTGCCTTTAAATTCTGGCACCTTATGACCAAAAACTTTCCAATTCGAACCAAAACCCTTCAAGCATCTAGGTACCGAATATGTGGATCACAGTACCCATAGTTGACTTTTTACCGAAAATATAGGTCAATGTGTGAGATATATAATATAATTGAGTTTTCCTTTCCTGATAATAGTATGTCTGTATGTCAAAAATGGATCGAATCGGGTCAATACTTCCTTATGCTTAACATAAATATTTTTGAATTTCCGGGTGACTTTATACCGCATATATCGGCCAATATGTGACTTATCTCAATGAAAATTAGAGAATGTGTTTTACTTATAACTTTGTGCCATATAACTAATATCAAAAATTTTCATACATCTGGCTAAACGATGGTATGTGAGGCTGGACTGCAAACCGGTTTTGAACCGAACCACAAGCCAAACCCCTTTTATATTAAAATGCGAAAACCGAACCGGCAACGACTCGAAAAAAAATAGTTCGATTCGGTTCAAAATGAAAATCCCCAATAAGCATTTTTAAGTTAAACAATACACGAAGGACTTAAAAATGCAACCCTTATGATCAGATCCCACAAATTTGCAAAAATTCAATGCCATGCGATGTCATTTTTCATTGTAAATAATCGCATCTTTGTTCTCTTTATTTTTGAAATGAGTGTGAATCCAGTACATAAAAGCTTTTATTTTTACAAATCTTACTATACAAGTAAGTACAATATATACCTACATTGCAAATTTAAAATTAAAG